TTAGTACATCAAGTTTTTTTCGTCTCAGATTCATACCTAAAGTGTAAATTTTGGGACAGTCTCATACATCCGTTAGTCAAACTGTTAAATTTGCCGTTAATTGTGACATGGTGCCCATGTGGACAATGACTGGACGCCACGTGTCATCCACATTTTTGTTTTTTGTTTTTTTTATTCTTTCTTCTTCCTCCTCCTTCTTCTTCTTCTTTCTTCTTCCGACTGCAACTTTTTTTTTTCTTCCTTCCTCCTCCTTCCTTCCCCTTCTTCCCCTTCTTCTTTCTTCTTCCTTCTCCTTCTCCTTCTCCTTCTTCTTCTTCTTCCTCCGAATCTGGGGAAGTTTTTTTTTTCTTCTTCTTCCTTCTCCTTCCTCCTTCTTTCTTCTTCCTCCGAATCTGCCCAAATTCAGTTTTTTTTTCTTTCTTCTTCCTCCTTCTTCCTCCTTCTTCCTCCTTCTTCTTCCTTCTTCTTCTTCTTCCTCCGACTGCAACTTTTTTTTTTCCTCCTTCTTCTTTTTCTTCCTTCCCCTTCTTCTCCTTCTTCTTCCTCCGAATCTGAGGAAGATGAAGGATTTTTTTTTTTTGAGGAAGTTGAAGAAGAAGGAGAAGGAAGAAGAAGGAAGAAGGAGAAGAAGGAGGAAGAAGAAGAAACAAGAAAAAAAAATGAAAAAAAAAAAAAACTGAATCTGGGCAGATTCGGCGGAAGAAGAAGACGAAGAAGAAGAATAGGAAGGAAGAAGGAGGAAGAAGAAGGAGAAGGAGAAGGAAGAAGAAGGAAGAAGGGGAAGGAAGGAGGAGGAAGGAAGAAGGAGGAAGAAAAAAAAGTTGTAGTCGGAGGAAGAAGAAGAAGAAGAAAAAAAAACGTGGATGACATGTGGCGCCCAATCATTGGCCACATGGGCGCCATGTCACAATTAACGGCAGATTTAACAGTTTGACTAACGGATGTATGAGACTATCCCAAAATTTACACTTTAAGTATGAATCTGAGACGAAAAAAACTTGATGTACTAAATGTTGAAAACCACGAAACATGAGGGTAATAAACAGTCTTTTACCCTTTATAATTTTATTTGAAGTTTTTACAAACACTAGTGTTGACACATAATTGACCAATAAATCTAACCATGCGGTCTTCAGTCTCTTAGTTTAAGTCATTTATCTAATTCAATAGTCAATATAATATATGGTTAAAATTCAATATTACATTGAAATAGGCTTGAGAAAATTGATCATTTTAAAAGTTTATTTCGGCCGGTAATTGAGTGAAAATGGCACAAATAGAATTGGTGCCCCCGACTGGATTGGAAAAGGGAAAGGCAAAGCTTAATGATGGCGATCATGGTGGGATGATGAATCAGCAGAAAGACAAGAAGGGTCTTGTCACCACTGTAAAAACCACTACATTTGATAAAATAACAGAAAGAAGTGCATTTTATAGCACATGAAGAGCAGTAACAAAAATTTTGCACGCACAAGGTCTCTAGATTCTGAGACTTAATCATAGATTTTGCATAGCGCCTTCAGGATAATGCCTCCAAAAAGGTCCCCTTCGCACTAGCCAATGTGAACACAAAATATACACATATTTTTCGGATTTAGTTCATTAGATTTGAACTCAAAACTTCGTTTAAGAAGGCGAAGTATGATCAGATAAATATCTTGGCCACCCACTTCATTCATATTTTGGCATGGAAATGGAAAGCTTAACGAGCCGCTTTCAAAAACACGAGAACTATGAGGCTCACGTTACAACAAACACAGTTGATTCACTCACCTATTTTCATATGCCAAAGCTAATTTTTGATAACTCACTATGTCGACCGATAATATAGAAAATCTTTGCAGTCATGCCATCTTATTTTTCTTTTTACTTTTCCGAGCCTTCTTCAATGGTATAGCATGCAACAATCGCTTAAGAGGACAAAACTTCACTTGATGAGGAGCCTTCCTTTTTGGTCTGGATTTCCCTACATCGATGTATAAGAAACAATTAGCCGAGCCTGGTAGTGCATGTTTGTAACTAAGCAGGGCATTAAAGCGATTGATGGGTGATGGAATCTTGGTTAAGCGAGGCCATGGTGTTTGAAATCTGTTCACCACTCTTGTGAAGTCACTTTAAGCATGCCCTAAGCCCCTCGGGTTAGTAGGGGCACCCCACCCTTACAAGGGGTAGCAAACAAACAAACACACATGTATACGAAACAATTAAGCATTACTCCAAAGGTGCAGATGAACTCGGGGTGGACGTTATAGAAGGTGAAACTGATGCAAATTTAAGAATTAACTTGCCAAAAACAAACGTTGGCAATCGATAGATAGCTAAAGAAACAATATCATCCGTGAAGGGTTGAAGCTCGCGAGCAGGGGTTGTGCTCATCTGCAGGTGGAAATGGATTCGCTAGAAGCCGTGGCTGCTTGTGCTGGAGGATTGGCAGATCTCTCTAGTCTCGGTTTCATTGCTGCTGATATCAAGGAGCTGTTGGCTGAGTTTCCCAGGTGTACGATTTCGTATATATCCCGTAGTTGTAATGGTGTGGCAAATCGCCTTGCCAAGCTAAGTTTATCTTGTAGTGACTAAGTTGTTTGGTTTGAGGAACCCCTGGATTCTATTTGGGAGATGCTCAACCAAGACTTGTGTTCTATTTGATCATTTCAATAAAACTACGGAATCTTCATTCAAAAAAACAAACAATATCATCTAGATGACTCGTTGAGCAACAAACCTCCAACACTCAAACCTTAACAGCTAAATTCATGTTTTTAGTTGGTTAGTCAGGAACACATTCTCTTTATGAAATGGTGAGTCCTGGCGAGCCAACGCAAACAGATTACTAACTGTAACAGGCCCATCTTAAGAACAAAAAGCCCCCATATCCAAGCAGATCAGAACACTTAACTGCCACATATAATCAAACGAAAAGAAAAGGCGTTGAAGAGAGGACATGCATGCTGAAGAAAATTAAATCGTACCTGATATAGATTGAACCGAGTCTATATCAGCTTTCCCGTCTTCGTTCTCTTCCATTGTCACTTCCCTTGATCCATACCTTGCAACTGAATAATCATCAATCTCTCGCAGGCGCCGCCATACAATCATTAGACTCCAGAATAGGAACCTGGTTTGCAAGTACAACTGTATCATCTCCAGATTCCCTATGTAGTTCCTTTTTCTGAAATACGCAATGACGATGAATTGAAATACAGATATTTTTCTTCTTTACTCTCCACAGGTAGCATTTTAAAAATTTCATCCATCACATCAATTCGTGTATCAGAACCATTCACACGCAAAGCCTCTTCACTGGGAGGAGTAGGAATATCTGAATCCTGGTAATTAGTGGAAACTTCAACTTCAGAATTAGCAGTACAAGTATCATTCAACCCCATGTTTAACGCTTGAAATGTTAAATTATACCATTAGGTGGCACAGCATCCAATTCCCGATTAGTCACGCACGTCTGTGATTGCGAATCATGAATCTCGTTCACAATCAAGTCAATATTCCCATCTGTACCATCTACATTGTTTGGTTTTGCTTCAGAGGTTAATGCAGGAGCTTTAGTTTCCACAGCATCAATATAAGCTTTCACAGTATGACAAGATGGATATAAATTCTGAGGATTTTCAGTCAAAACATCTCCACAAGACTATCACACAAACAAGATTGACCTGATCGAGGAAAAGAAGCCCTATCAGGTTGTTCTGATACTACAGCAGTCACAGTCGATTGTTCAATTGCCTCAGAAGCAGAAACGGTGTTTTTACAAGTAGCCATTGATTGGGATACAACCAAATCATTGCCAGATATCAGATCCTTGACTTGAAACCCAAGTAACGGCATTAGATATTACGGTCCTGCAAGACATTAATCGTAAGTGTTTTTGAATGAGTTAGACAACAAATCTTCGAGACTGAGATTTATGAAAGCTATCATACCTGCAATTTCTTGAACTAGACGCGAAGCAATGACATTAAGTGCTCATTTGGATGTGCTTTTAAAATGATTGAAAACGCTTTTAGTGAAAATGTTTTTGGAACCAATCCTTAATAAAAATGTAAGTAAATTTCGGAAAAACACTTTTCTGTAAGAAGCACATAACTAGTGCTTTTGGAACAAAAAAACATTTTCTTTAAAAGCGCTTTCAGTAATTTTAAAGACACATCCAAATGAGTCTTAAGTTTGCAACATCATATGACCCCGTAAATTCATTTGCAGTCGGAGCAAGAGCAGCACCGGAAATTATTAGATTCCTTCCTCGAGTCCAATCTACCAGCAACTGAAGAACAACATGGGAGATGATGAGTAGTTGTATCCATCAGAAGCTAACACTAACATATATACCAACAATTACTCAATACGGGAGATGATGAGGAAGTGAAATATTACGACGTTCTTGTAAGATTTAATTTCAAAACATCATGATATTTTTCGTCACGAAAATGCAAATTTTTGTTGTTTATTGCTTCGGATATGCAATATCAATATAATGCAATATCAATATAATAATTTCCAATTAACTTTACAAAATCCTCACCTTAGCATTGGTTACTATTTGCTTTCTGGATTGAACATCGGCAATGATATCACATGCGATTTCAAAATACACTGGGCCTCACAAAGCCCATTCGCAAAACAGCGGTCGAGTGAAAGATGTGTAAACAGCTGGGCCTCACAAAGCCCACTGAGAAACCAAAAGAACCACAAAACTAAGTGCTGTTGACCAACAATACGAACGAGAATTATTTCCGGATTCTCTTCGTGAGGATTTCGATGATCATTCAATTACATTTGTTCATTATATATTATGCAATCATAAATTATTATAAAATTATATATAAGACGAAAATTAAGTACACGACGTATGATGAATAGATGTAATTAGAGAATTTCTGATTTTTTCACAAATCTGGAGAGAATCCTCATTGCAAAAAAAACAAGCGCAGGAAACTTAAAAACACCCCACGTCATCGATCCTCACTTCACCTCCATCTCACCGTCAGTGCAAATCCATCGACGGTCCAAAACCTTCTTCTCCAGCAAGCACACGGATCGAGCCTCGTTCTCAAAATCCCACATTGCCCTATAAATGCCCTCAGAATCCAAACAACGTCATTCATTTCGTAAAAGCAAACCATTGTCTCACTTACTCTGCAACTCTCAGGTCATTTTCCGCTCTCTAACATCTCATAACTCTGCAGTTTCACAAATTAGGGTTTCAAATTCTCTCTCGGACTTCTAATTTTTGAATTTTGTGTTCAGATTTTTGAAATTTTCGGCTCGCAACAATGACGGGACGTGGAAAGGGAGGCAAGGGACTGGGCAAGGGAGGAGCGAAGCGTCACCGTAAGGTCCTCCGCGACAACATCCAGGGCATCACCAAGCCGGCGATTCGCCGCCTGGCCCGCAGAGGCGGCGTGAAGCGAATCAGCGGCCTGATCTACGAAGAGACCCGCGGCGTCCTCAAGATCTTTCTCGAGAACGTGATTCGGGACGCCGTTACCTACACGGAGCACGCCAGGAGGAAGACGGTGACGGCGATGGACGTTGTTTACGCTCTCAAGAGGCAAGGCAGGACTCTGTACGGGTTTGGGGGTTAGGGTTCTGGTGGGGAAAAGTCTTGCTGTCAAGAAAGGACTGGTGATTTGGTGTTTGTATTGTTAGGGTTTAGGTTTCGATGGCTGATGCTGTAATTAGTGTCGTAGTTAGTGGTGTTTTTCAATGTTGGTTCAATCTCAAAGTTGCAATTTGTAATTCGTTCTCTGGATTCTAATTTCTGAAGAAATTAATAGAATTTTGGTTTTGGTATGTGCAAATTATGAGTGTTTTTTTTTACTCTTTCTGAAGATTTTTGGTTTTGTTTGAATTTTGATTATTTGTTTTTTCTTTATACGTATCTTTTAACCATTAAAGAGTACAGTAATGTTTTTTTTTTCTTTCAATATAATATAAGCGATATTGTATACGTAAGGAGTTTTAATTTAGGATACAATAGGGAGGGGAAGATTTCAACTACCAATTTACTATTGTGCAAGTTAATTGTTTTTTTTTTCTTTCTAAAAGGAAACTCATTGTAGCGAGAAATTATTCTTCGTGATGGAAATATGAGTGGTATATTACGTGTTTTTATGTAAGTGGTGAGAAATTTTATTTTTTAAATTATTAACTTTTGAACAAATATATTGTACTATTTGTATAATGACATGTGGTGTATGATCACATTGAAAAATCTCTCCATAGTAGCGTCATGAATCGAATTCAAGGTGAGCTATGTGAAATACTAGTCTCAAACTCTCTCGGTTCGTTGGGCCACCGTATGGTGGTTAATTATTGCTTACTTGAGCATAACAATGGAGCTATTCAATTGCTTAAGTGGAAGGAAGAGGTAAGTTGCAAGCCTATCATTGTTTCCTATAGCACGATCATCGACAATCTTTTGGAAAGATAGTATGATTGTTAATGCAATGAACATTTTCTCTTAAATGATGAGTAAAAGTATTGACCCTGATATCGTTACCTATAATTCTTTGATCATGGAGTATCCAAATTAGGGGAGTCGAAAAAAGCTAAGGGGTTGTGTTGATACACAAAACCGGAGGTCTTGGAACAATGTAAATTTAATCGTGGATCTGCAAGTAATGTAAATAACACAAGATGTATCGTGGTTCACCCCAAGGTTTGGGCTACGTCCACATTGATTATGTATTTATTTGAGGGAGAAAGAGCTCTGAGAGTGGGCGCTTTGAGAGGGGGTGAAAGGGCCTATGAATTGGCCTTCGAAATGGCCTTCCCCAATTGTGAGGGTGAAGAGTCCTTTTATAGAATAAGGACTCCTCACTTATTACATATTTGCCCCTTCCTTTATTACATAATTACATTTAAGTTCCTCGAGTATTTGTACGAGATCTAAATACGAGGCCCTAAATATGGTATAAACAGTAGTTCCCCAAGTCTTCAGTCAAGAGAGTCTTTTGGCTGGAGACTTGAAATTCAGTCCATGTGTGGGCCGAAGTAACTAGATGCTGTCTTGAACTGAAGCTCGATATGAGGCAGTGCTCAATCTGAAATGATGCTCAACTAGAAGTAGCACACGCTGCTCGGCTGCTCGGCTAGTGGCTTATGTTGCCTTGGTTGGCCCGGCTTTGTGGCGTAGGGAGTCCCTTTTATAGAATAAGGGATCACTCCTCAACACATGAATGATGGGTTATGAGTGATGCTCGCGGCGAGGCGGTTGCTCAGCTGGCGGCGATGCTCTTTAACAAAGGTGAGGGAGTCCCTTTTATAAAATAAGGGCTCGCTCCTCAATACATAAGTGATGGGCTAAGTCCCCCAAGTATTTTTCATGAGTGTTCTCTAATGAAAGTGAGGGAGTCCCTTTTATAGAATAAGGGCTTGCTCCTCAGTACATAGATAATGGGCTAGAGTTGATGCTCGCGGCGAGGCGGTTGCTCAGTAGGCGGCGATGCTTTCTAATGGTGGTGAGGGAGTCCATTTTATAGAATAAGGGCTCGCTCCTCAATACATAAGTGATGGACTAGGAGTTATGCTCGCTGCGAGGCGGTTGCTCAGCTGGCGGCATTGCTCTTTAATGAAGGTGAGGGAGTCATTTTTATAGAATAAGGGCTTGCTTCTCAATACATAAGTGATGGGTTAGGAGTGATGCTCGCGGCGAGGCGGTTGCTCATCTGGCGGTGTTGCTCTCTAATGAAAGTGAGGGAGTCCCTTTTATAGAATAAGGGCTCGCTCCTCAATACATAAATATAGGCTAGAGTTAATGCTCTCTAATGGTGGTGAGGGAGTCCCTTTTTATAGAATAAGGGCTCGCTCCTCAATACATGAATGATGGGCTAGAGTTCCCCAAGTATTTTTTATGAGGCCCAGTTAAGGCCCAATATATGGTACATAATGTAGTCCCCAAAGTCTTCGGTCAATAGAGTATGTTGGCTGGAGACTTCAAATTGAATCCATGTATGGGCGGAAGTGGCGGTTGTTCGGAGGCGGTATTTGTATACCCTGCACTGAAGCTTTGTAGGTGAAGCTTTACAAGTGAAACTTTAAATCTAAAGCTCTGTAAATGACGCTTTTGAAGCTAAAGCTCTGTAAATGACGCTTTTGAAGCTAGAGCTCTGTAAATGAAGCTTTTGAAGCTGATTGACATGAGTAATGCTCATGAATGTTTATGTTGATTGACATGAGTGATGCTCATGGATGTTGTCATGAGTGATGCTCATGAATGTTAACATGAGTGATGTTCATGAATGTTGACATGAATGATGGTCATGAATGTTTATGTATGATTGTCATGAGTGATGCTCATGAATGTTTATGTATGAATGACATGAGTAATGCTCATGTATAATTTGGAGTACTGAGCGTACTTTTGATCACATGGTTGGTGGAATGAAGGAGAGTACAGGTTGTACATTTCATCACCTGGTTGGTGGCATGAATGGCTAGTTGCTAAATGATATTAGAGTACGAGTTGTACATTTCATCACCTGGTTGGTGGCATGAATGGCTAGTTGCCAAATGATTTTAGAGTACGGTTTGTACATTTCATCACCTGGTTGGTGGTAATAGCAGCAAGTTGCCGAATAATTGTGGAGTACTGGGCGTACTTTTGATCACCTGGTTGGTGGTAATAGAGGGCCTGGGTTTTTTGGGCATATGGGCCTTCGCCCATGACATTGTAGCCCATTATTTTGGGCTTTTTTTTTTTTTTTTTTTTTTTTAACCCTCTGATGGGGTTTATACATATATCTTCGAAAGATAGGAAAAATGCGTCATAAAAATAAGAAAAGTAAATCACATCATTCTGGTGGGGTGTTTACTCATTGCTTTTGCTTTCTTTTTCCCACTGCGTTTCTTTGCTCAAGTAGACATATCCTCTGGGCATTCAGAAAGTGATTTCACATGGCTACCACCATGTAAAGAAGATGCTCCTTGAAGCAGGAAAGCAAGAGTGTTGTTCGGATATGGGCACATGCAAGCTTGGCATAGTTGCAGCAGATAATTACAGTGGAGATAATATATATAACAGGTGAGTGCATGGTTGGAGTTCATGGAGGACCCGTTGGTGGTGCCCGTGCCACTGCTAGTGGATGATTGCTTTTGCCTGTTTTTTGATAATGGTGTTTCTTTCTTTTTGAGTTGGTGGTCAACATATTAATTCGTCAGATAAAAAATTCTTATCTTCTTTCATCAGCTTTCTCTGTCCACCACGACATTGAACCTCAGCTCCATGATATGGGTCCATCTGAAAATCAACTTGGGATTGATTGTATGATCCGAAAGCTACGTCGTTTAAGCTGGGATTGATTGTATTCTTCGGTCATCAGCACTTATCAGCTCCCCCAAATCCAATCGAGATCTTCCTGGGTCCTGGTAGAGCAGCAGCCTTCGGGTCGTGGCCAACCAGACATTCTTTGCGGCCCTATCGTAACGGGCACCCAAATCCGACTTGTCGTGGTACCAACCGATCGATTTCTGTGCTTCCAGAACAATCTGCGATATACCTTGCTTAACGGTCTGTTTGTTTTAGCGGATCTCGTGGATGGTGGCAGAGATTTTCTAGTAGAGAGGGCGTTGATTTACGCGGAAGCCATTTTCGAAAGCCTTCAGGTTGTGCAGAAAACCCTAAACCTTCCCTGGGGATTGGGAGAATGAGAAGAGCGGAGGAGAGAGAGGCGAAGTCTTTGATGGCAAATAGGGTGGTATTCGGTTCGTGTTTCCGAGATCCGGAGCTTGGGGCTTGGGATTCTACTTCTGTAGTGGTAGAGCCGGTGCCAAGATCGATGACCATGTCGGACTCAACAAACCCGACGGCCTTGTAGGCGGCGATTTTCTTTAACTCGTCCTGGGTTGGAATCACAGACGACGTATGAGGTGATAGGGAGGCGTTGCCACCGGAGACTTGAAACATCGACGAAGTAGAAACTGAGTTGTCGTACCCTTAAGCATGAGGGAGGCTGCAACTTTAGGATAAATGGAAGGAGGAACATGCATAGCTCTGTTTGTAGGAAGGATCTGCTTTTCCGCATCTGAGCCCATTTGTTGACCAGCATAGGTTACAAGATCTCCAACTTGCTTGCCCATTAGATCTGGTCCCACAGCTATCACGACTCCACAAGCCTCAACACCTAGGGTGTAAGGAAGTGTAGCAGCCTTATAAAAGCCCTTGCGGTAGTACACATCAGTGAAATTAATCATGATGGCTTTCTTCTTGACGCGAATCTCGCCCTCATTCGGCTCTCTTACTTCCACATCTTCCCATTTCAACACCTCAGGACCACCATGTTCATGGATTTAGATGGCTTTAACCATCTTTGCTGCAGGTGGTGATGCTGCTGCTTCTGCGACATCGTATTAGTCATTTTCAAGGGCTTCCTGTATCTTTCCTTGCAGCCTTCGGCAATCACTTTTCATCCTGCATCTGAACCTGCATATGGGCTAAACCCACCACTCTTTTTCGCCTGACCTCTCTCTCTTTCTCTCTCTCTCTCTCTTTTGTCACGCGTTTAGTGAGGTTTCCCGTGACATAGAGGAAAGAGGGGAGTCATTTGATTGGCTGGGATGAGGTATCTTATTAAAAGCGTTGTGATGTTTATGCTCTGGGTTTGGGTTTCTACAGATCCATGGTGGTTGGAAAAAAATGAAAGAGAACCGACATGATTTTTTGTGTCGTTTCCCACAGACGGTGCCAAATGTTGCACAAAATCGGAAGGTCTTGGAACAACGTAAATCTGACCGTGGATCTGCAAGTAATGTAAATAACACAAGATGTATCGTGGTTCACCCCAAGGTTGGGGCTACGTCC